AAGACGTTAAAAACACAAACAGCGGATTCAAAAATTCAAGTCAGGAAAACAGAACACAAGAATACTACCCCACATGGAAGTCGTCGAAGAACGAACACAGTCGAAGAACGAACACAGTTGACAGATGTAGGTCACGTGCAACAACAGACACGAGGAGCATGGCTGCTCTCCAAATGGGTCCCTTCTTTTGTATTGACCCCCTAAGGATTGCTAATCCCCCTTTCTAACTCTTCCCCCAAAAATAATATATCGCCCCTTTAAAAATGTATTGACCCACAAATTAATGAATATTCATGACCACAGAAACTGCTACGTCATGAATAAATTAGCATAATTTAAAAAAATTTGCATAAAGTGTAGGTACTCCTTCTGGAGCTCTGCCCCCTCATCAAATGTGTATAGTACGGAAATTGTATAGTCCCTCTAGATAACTACCGTTGTCCCCATGAGGGGCATATAATTAAAGTGGGGAGCGCTAAAGGGTAGGGTAGGAATAAACTTAGGATCAGTAGCACAAAAGGAACTCTTTCAAATCTTTGAATTCTTAGAAATGACTTGAATACAACCAGAACTGATGATTGACCTTAACAATGAATCGTATTCATAAGTTTTCCCCAACAGTTTCACTAAGGTTGCATAATTATAACATTCCTTTTCTTTTGTTCAGTTGGCTTAGGATGTTCAAACTTGTATTAATAGTGTATTACTCTGAAGAAAATTATCATCACGTATGTTTTCCCACAAATATTTGAAACCTTGTTGCATGTATGAAATTGCTGTGTTGGTATTTGCTTTCATTTTCACTTATTGTTGAACAAGGGTCGCACTTTAAGTAATGTTATGGTTGAGGGAAAAAACGAAAGTTGCAGAGCCATGAACAAAGAAGGTGATATGAGAGTTTGTGAGGGTATTGATTATTCGGTGAGTTTGGCACAATGTTTGGTTATGACAACATGTTCTCTTAGGGGTTCTGTTGACATAAATTTGGAAATCAGTTTAGTTTCAGAAGTACGAATGTCTGTTCTGTTGTACAGCATTGGCTTTCAGATTGCGTTATTTTCAGACACAACCAAAAGTAGGAAAACAAAATAGTTGCAGTTGACCCAGCCTGACTAGCAAGTATTATGGTACCCTGATTGCAAGTTTAGCATAGTGTTTGGTTTTATAACGACGCAGAACAGAATCAAACCCATGTAGGTTGTTGTAAAGCGATCAAGGCCCGTGAACCACGCTTTTTTTCTTTTGTCAACAAGAGTCTGGGTAACTTGATTAATGAGCTGCTTTTGTGGTCAATTCTAAAAAATAACTCTCTTATACATTCATAATTACAAAAACCTGTGTCACTTTACATATACTTGAAATTTACACAAAATATTCTGCACATTCCGTGCTTCTTCGGAAATTGCGTATTTCTTCATAAAACAGATCCGGGCATCTTTAAAACAACAGGAGATCATCAGATGCGTTCAGAACATTTAGACTTTTGCAGCTGTGAGGAAATTTTTAAGACTTGACCAACATTTAGGCGAGTTACAAGTAACTGAATGTCTTAGTCTATATAATAACAATAGTTATATGTGTCTGTAATAACGTTATTATTTGTTTTCATTTGTTAAAGATTTTCCATGTCTGGTGTAATATTATTATACTGCTGCAATTTGAAAATTCCATAATATAGACCGTGATAAATGGCATTCAACAGTCTATCACAAGGGGCATCACTGCAGTCTGCACAGATTACTCCACCTGGGTCATTAGGTGATGAAGACGGGTACGATCCCAAAATATTCGTCAAGTCTCCCAGCAATTATGTCTGTCATATATGTCAGAAAGTGTTACGATCACCTGTGCAACTAGAGTGTGGTCATCGATTCTGTAATTTCTGTTGTAATAATTTGGTGAAGTAAGTACAATTGCATGCTACGATTCGAGAGAATTTTTTTTAAATTATTTATTATACATCTGACGCTGAAGACAATATAATTTATACATTTATAATATGCACATAAAATG